TAAAAAAAAATGTTAAGAATAAGAATGAATTATTCACAGTACCTGCATAGATTATATAAAATATTCGAAAGATGGCATTTTAAAAAAGTATTTAGTTAAATCAACTTTAAAATGACTTTCGAAAAAAAATACAGGGGAGTTAATTTCCATAAAAGTTGCTGATCATAGCTTCCATTGTCATGGGTTTACTAAGGGTTAAGCTGTACTCTGTTTCAGAGGTAGACACATTGGGGGTCAGAGTTGGAATTTTAGGTGGACCTCCGGGCTGTGGGTGTCATCATAAACTACTCCTTCCCTTAACACTCTGAAATGCACGAGTTTGACAAGAGGGAGATTGTTTGCTAAACAGAGACAATCCAAAATTACCTTTAACAAGGTGTTGTTTAGCTAATCAAATTTTCACATTTTCACATTATAAAAGGTCAGCTGCACCTAAAGCTCCCCTCACACTTTTTCCGCACACACTCTCTCTCTCATACACCTGGAGGTCTAAAAAATTTTGCAGAGACAATGATGCTTTCTTTGGGGCACGACGCATGCCATCACAAACCTCTCATCTGGGGCTGGGCTGTGCCAAGGGTCTCTTGACAGACAGCATGCCATTCACATGCTGAGGCTGAGAGGAGATGAAACGGAGGCAGCTAAACTGGCTCTCAGGACTCTGATTGTGCTCTGATCTGCGGGGCTGAGAGCTGAGTGCTTGAGGAAGCGATGGGAAGCCTCACCTCTTCTGGAGTCTCCGGGGTCATGTGCTGGCGGCCCGCCAGGAGTCTGTCGGACAGGTGTGCCTGTGCACACGACATACCCTCTCGCTTTTATGTGTGTGTGTGTGTGTGTGTGTGTGAATACACTCTCAGTCAACATTTAAATTTAAATGCCCATTTGTGACCCAATCTGTGAGCACACTTACCTTATTCTATTAAAGCAGTGGTTCTCAACCTTTTTGACTTGAAGGCCTCCATTATCCAATTCAATATTCAAAAGCCCCTCATATAATATTTTCTTTGTAATGTTCTACTTTAATAATGACAAAGCTACTTGTTTACAAACTTTTTATTAACAGAAATTGGAAATGTCAGTATGTTAAATTAATTATCCGTAATCATTTTTGTTCCAGAATTTTTTAAGAACTATCTTCTTTAATAGAACAATAGGTTGCAATAACAATATTAATTCAATGTTGCAATGAAATAGGGGATTTTTAATACAATTTATATTTAGTTAATAAAAAGGATTTATTTACCTTACACCTCAATTTTATGTGTATTTTAGCATTTTAATTAAATTACAATATTTTAATGTAATATTTTTTATTTTAGTTCAAATAATTTTCCTGCTCCCCTGGTTGAGGACCACTGTGTTAAAAGGGACAGGTCATCCAAAAATTACAATTATGTCATCATTTACTTACCCTCATGTAGTTTTAAGCATGTATAACTTTATTTCTTCTGCGGAAACAATAAAGATGAACTGTTCTTTTTCCGTACAGCGAAAGTCAATGGGGTCCAAAAAAAACAACACTGGCCCATGTTGGCTTTCATTGTATGGACAAAAAAAGATTTTTCAAAGTATCTGCATTGTACAGAAAAAAGAAAGACTGTTTAGAATGACATTAGGGTAAATAAATGACGACAGACTCGTAATTGTTTATCCACTCACAGGTCTCCTATTGGACCTAACCAATGTATATTAGTGTGTCCCAGACTGTACAGTCTTCTCCCCAATGTTCAATCTGAGAGAAGCGAATCTCATTTGGAGAATGGGGAGATAGCCAATCAAGCGGCCTTGAGAGATGGATCAGATAACTATTAGATGACAGCTGCTTGGCCCGTTTGGCACACGTACAGTGTTTCACCTCAAGCATGCGTCTGCTGTTCTCTCGTACTTTGGGTCTGTCCCATCTGCGTGTGACAGACAGCGTCGTAGTGATGGAGTTGCGCAGCGCCATGGTTCCACTCGCATGATTTAGTGGCGTGCTCCAAGAGGAGATTGTGCCATGGCTCTGCGCCACGCGCCACAGAAGTGAACCCAAGCCACTCTGTGCAGTTCCAGCCCTGTCGTGACTGACTTCATATCCAGCATTCTTGGGGGATTAAGTAGGGATGAATTTCGCTCTTTCACAAAGTGAAAAAAGAAGAGACTTATCTGTAACCATGCAATTCATAATGTAACCTGAGGTCTCAGCAGGCGCAGAGGACGACAGGTCTACGAAAAGATAAATGTGAATGTGTATGTTCGCACTGATTATTTGGATAACTTAATCACAGTTCCCCCCTCCGTTTCCCCCTCTGCATTATCTCTCTCATACATCACAGTGTGGCTGTTTTTGGATATTCCTGATTGCATCTTTTTCCATGTTATGATTAGGCCCCATCTCGTGCTTATCACATCCAGGAGTCTCACCAGATAAAGGGCAAGCAGGAAAGAGTGGCTTTGAAGCCGTGAGGATAATGGTCGGTCTAGGACTTGTGGTCTTCCTCTGCCAAATGCCATTCTTATTCCCCGATTAAAGTCCTAATGTGAATCACTGTATCAGAAATGGCAGAAGTGATCTTAGAATAGTCATCATCATGTCCAGATTGACTCTTTCTGCAGGCATGTTCCTTTGTCTTTTGTTATGTCTTTGGTCGTGGCTGGTTTCGATTAGAGCCAAGGAAGGGATGGTTCATCAGACGTAGACGAATATCTTCATCTCTGTATCACCCAAGCCATAATGTGACCACATATGCAACCCATGGCTGCTTTTGTGATATTCAAGCTTTCCTTTAAAAGCCAGCGCTTTGCCTCGCCCCTTTTGACAGTGAAACAGGACTTGGAAAGAGAGAGTCGCTCCAACACTGTCTGCTCTTTTACGAGTCTACACCTCCTGCTGTAAAATGTGGTTCCATTATTTGAGCAGTGATCCTGGCGCTGAGAAGCTCACAGGTTTGTAGATAATCAGAGGCTACAGAGGAGAACATTGTATCTGCACATTATTATCACGCAGGGGTGTGTGCGTCATAGATCAAGATCTGTGAGAGATACTAATAGAGGCTTCATTACATGCCTGTCCATTCAGCGCTATGGAAACCTTGACACTGGCCACAGACTTTTCCTGGTGGGGCGCTAGACTGTCAAAATTAAATTGAAATCAAACTTAGATTCAAACATTTTGAAGAGAAACATTGTCAGACTGTCATAATAAAATAAATGTGATCAAATGCTTTGCCAGTAAATAATAACAAAAGATGAAAAAGAAATCTGGAGTCACGGAGGGTTTAAACATGGGTTACTGTGATCAAAACAATGCATCACATATTCCTCCTAACAAGATCAACATTTTATTTCTATTTTTAAGGAGATTATTAGAGATTTATTTGGTGTTTGTTGTTCACTTTCTGCTGCCTTTACAATAGGCTGAGATACAATACTGTGCTTGTTAACAATATCATAAATTACCAGGTATTTTTGATGAATAAATACTGCTTTACAGTAGTGCTATGCATAATACGCTCTGATGTTTAGCATTAACATCTCTTGCCATTTTTTTTACTGTAGGCAGGGTCCAAAATGAACACTCTTCAGGTGCCGAATGAGAGTAAAATTTAAGATTGGCGAGCATGTGCCAATTGGCCTGTAATTTTATTAGGAACTGCAACATAATACATGGTTAAAGTCAAACTGTAAAAACAATAGTCTGACCTTCACTGATTCGAGAGACATGTGTGATTCAGAAGAAAGACTACAAACTGTCTACTTATTTTACCTCAGTGGAACACTGACCATCAAAAATTTAATGTTTATAGGTTTATTGTGCTCCATGTGGCCAGACATATGTGGAATATTCCTCACATTTGACCGCTAAAACAAATATGAGCATTTGAAATTAGAGAAACAGGGAATGTCTGATGTGATGCTAGTGAGAGAAAAAAAGAAAGAGAGAAAAAAATTAATCCCTTTGTCATTTGGAGAAAAATATATTTTAATCAAATTTAAAAAATATTTAAATGAGTTAAACTTGAGTAAATTAAATGTAGTATATAAAATGTAAATTTTAATGTGTAATGAAATGAATCCCTGAAGTGCCCTTTAGTAAATGTAAGCATATATCACAGCAAAACACACTCGTGCTGCTCTGTGTCCAAAGACTGTTGAATGGTCGTATGTAAATGAAATATTAGGCCTATCAAGATGGGATGCATCACTTGTAAAGCCTGTTATCTCCCCTCTCATATTTCTTATCAGACCGCCATGGAAGGCGACTGGCAAGAGTGTCGGTTTGACTTTTTAAAACAAACTCGCACGGCAGATGAATGTTATTAGTCTGAAAGATTAGCCTTGACAGGGGTGAATGAAAAGCAATGAGGTATTCGCACAGAGCTCTGCTCCCCCATACGGCAACGTAATGATAAAAACCGACTTCAGCTGCACGGATCACAGACGCTGAACTCCACTCCAATACGGCGAGAGTTATTAAAAAGAAAGAACCGGAGGATTGTGCCATTCTCACATTACGTCATAGCGACTGTCACGGGAAGCTCTGGCAGCCCACTCAACGCTTTGGACCTGAGGCCTCTTCTCCCATTAGCAGTTGAAATAAACAATTGATTCAAGTGTAAACACACGTCTGTCGTCACTTTTGATAAAACCCAGCAATTAAGATGCAGCTTTTTTGCTTTAAATGTTATCTGTTTATGTTCAAAGGGGTAATTCGATTACCGCTGACATTATAGTGTGTCTGACTCTAGTAGTTGTCTTTTTTCTGTATATTTTCTTTGTCATCTGCAAGGAACAATGAGTACGCCTAAAAACCAAGAAAAGCTCTAAACGAATGAGGATTGGCTCAGACCTTAATGTGAACCTTGCGGTAAAGCAACAGAACATTAAATTTATAATGCTCTACATCATTTAAAGTGGTTTGTGTGTCGTGTGGTTTGAGAAGATAACCGCACTTTATCTTGTGAAACCTTGTGTAGTTCAGATGAGTCATCTGATGAAGTTTTGTTCGTTTCAGGGCAGTGGGGAGTCCCTTGGTCATGGACCCGAACAGCATCTGTAGGAAGACCAAACGTCTGGCGGGCAAGCAGGCCGAACTGTGCCAGACCCAGCCGGAGATTGTCAACGAAGTGGCCAAGGGCGCCAAGCTGGGCGTGCGCGAATGCCAATACCAGTTCCGCTTTCGACGCTGGAACTGTACCAGCCAGAACAAGTACTTTGGCAAAATCCTCCAGCAAGGTGAGCATGTGTCCTAATGGAGTTAATCAATCTTTGTCTCGATTATGGGTCAGCGACGTCTTTCTGAGGCCATGAACTCTGGCCCTGAGACCTAGAGACCTGTGCCCTCATTTCAGCATGTTTGATCCAAGTTCAAGAGAGAACAAGGACAGCTGTTGTGTCCGGTTTACCTCAGTGCCTTTCTTCTGTGTTAAATTGCTCTCTAAAAACGATCCCCAAATTGCATAATCATTGATCCGCCACATTTTTCAGCCCTTTGAAGAGTAATAAACTAACATAGCCTCTACAATTATTAGGCCGTCCACAGGGTTCAACCCCTCCCTTCTCACGTTGGATTTACCTTGTTCAGTTGAGGCAATTATTCTGCCTCACAACAGCGGTGTTGATGCTAAGACGTCTGTCATTATATAATATTTTGGAAACATTTTTTTTTTTTTTTGCAATCCGATCAAGAGGTGGTTTGATACATAATAGGCATGACTCAGCCTAGTGTAAATGCATCTTGTAGTTTAGGCCACAGTTTACTTTGGTAACGCTTTATTTTGACAGTCCACATTCTACTAACTATAAGAAACTTTGCAAGTACATGTGAACTTATTCTACTAACCCTAACCTAACAGTCTATCTTTTTTGGCTTCCGATGAGTATACAAGAGTAAATCATTAAAGGATATGTCGGTAGTGAATTTGATGATCACCTTTTCTGTTTGTAAACAGTCTAATTGGTTGTCACCAGTAGAGGGCGCTACTTTGGCTGAACATAGTCTGCCCTCAGCCAGCAGGGTATGAGATTAAGATGGTCAGTACAATTTTTTTGCCTCATTTCACATGAGATTTCTCTTTAGACATGCCCATATCACAGTGATGTAGAGAGATGCAGGCTTGTCATATCCAGGTCTGGAGCTGAGAGTTCACAATTTGGCCTCCAGTGTGGACGTGTTCACACACGGATTGCAACATGATTCCTCTGTCTGCATCAGCCCATCTTAGACTGAGCACTGGAGACTGCCTCACAAAATGGAAATTAATCATAAATTCCTCTGTGTCTATAGGTGAGGCTTAAGTGCTCTTCTGTTTTCATGCATTTACCACAATTACCGTGAGACTTGGCTCTAATGACCACGTGTCAGAGCTGAGATCTCTGCTAAGGCAGGTTCACTTCCTGCACCGAGTGATAGGGTTGTACAAAGTGTCTCACATATTTCTTCCATTGCTAAATAACTGGGGGCTATTTTCTTCCCCTATTCAAACATGTAAACCAGAGCTTGTTTTCTTGGCCCAAGGGAGCGGCCTCCTAATGCCAGAATTTGCTGGAAATGCTGCCGGCTGCTCTTACATGTTGTCTCTGAGGTTGTAATGAAGTCGTTAAAATTGCTCAGAGACAATATGCGGTTCCAATTAGAAACCCAAGAATTGATAAGGACGCCGTGTGTGCGTAATTTGCCCTGTCACCTCAGGAATGCGCCTCATTATTTTTGCTGTCAAGACCTCTTGTTTCTGTCTGTGTCAATAAATGTGTTTGGTATCGTGCATTTTCTGATGCACAGAGGTTAATGACGTTTTACCTCAGGTTCAAGTCTCAGAATGACAACAAGCATGCTCCTATACTCACATTCAAATTAAAATCTTATTAAATTATATTTTTATTTATGCCATAAATGGTGAGAGAGAGGCAGGTGCTTTTACTTTTTTCATTTATTAAACATATATATAAAATTAAGCTTTTGGCACTCAATATATTCAATATACACTACCTTTCAAAACGTTGGGACTGGGAAGATTTTTTAATGTATTTGAAAGACTCTTATGCATACAAAGGCTGCATATATATGATAAAGTAAAAACAGTAATATATTAATTTAAAAGTAATATAGTACTATCAGTAATATTCAAGATTCTTACAAAATAGCTGTTGTCTATTTTATATATATATTTTAAAATATAATTTGATCCTATGATGGCAAAGCTGAATTTTCAGAAGCCGTTACTGCAGTCTTCAGTGTCACATGAACCTTCAAATATCATTTTAATATGCTGATTTGGTGCTCAAGAAAATGTATTATCAATATTGAAAACAGTTGTGCTCCTTAATATTATTGTGGAAATCGTTTTTGTGGAATTGTTTTCAGAATATGTGATGAACTGATGAATAGAAAGTTCAAAAGAACAGCCTTTATTTGAAATATATATATATTTTTGGTAAAAATCTAAAAGTCTTCAATTTAAATAAATTGAATGCTTCCTTGCTAAATAAAATTATTATTTTATTTTGTATGGTAGTGTATATAACAATAGGCTAAAATGTCTTTGTCTCACTCTTATATGAAGTATAATAAGTCAAAAAGCGTTTCTTTGGTCATATCTTATCTAGCATAGGACAACAAGTGTGCCAGAAGTGCCATATAGTAGGTGCATGATCCCCCTGGTATTCTGTAATGGGACTCTTTACTATCAGAAATAACATCCTTGCTTCAACACATCGGCCATTTGTTCAGCAGATGTGTTTGGTATCTTCAGTATTCTGATAGTTGTGATTGTGAACTCACATTTGAACTCGTAAGCTTGCGTGCATTTGAAAAAAAAAAAAGAGCAGAGGATAGAGAGAGAAAGAGAAAAGATAAAAAGGTAAGCTTATATCAGAAAACAATTCAACAGTACATCTCCAAGCCCGGAGGCAGACCATTTTTGCAAGCATTAAGACTATAAACACTCCTTTTTTCTATATAATCCCATTTCAAACCCCTAATGCATGCTACAAACCAAAGCACATAACACACATGGCATTCTTCAGTCCTGTGCAAGAACGTTTTATTTCAAACCCCACTGTTGGAACAGGTCAGAGGCCAGTGAACTCAGCATGAAGGACTGCATGAATATGTGTTCCTCTTCAGGAACTCGAGCTGTGTCGGAAACGCTAGGGGAAGTTCTGCGGTTACTTCCCCCCGAGGTTGATGTGGTGGGCGTCGATGAGGATTCGCCCCCTCAATCGCCCCAGTATGAGGAGCTTTTGAAGGTGGTAACTCGTGCCGTGGTCAAACTAAATATTGAATGGCCCGCTGAGAAGATGGCTGAGCCGCAGAAAAGCAAATTGGATGAGCGGTTTCTGCGTGTTAAGCCACCACCTCCGCGCCGGAGCCTGCCTTTTTTCCCCGACCTCCACACCGAGGTGTCGAAGTCGTGGGGAAGACCATTCTCGGCCCGCCTCTTTATTCCCGCCTCCGATTATTATGGCAATGTGGCGGGGATGAATGAGCGCGGTTACAAGACGATGCCCCGGGTAGAACAGACGCTTGCGAGCTATCTGTCTCCCGGCGTGGCATCGTCTTTAAAGGCTCCGGCATTGCCCTCCAAGCCGCTGCGCACAACATTAGCGCTGGTGGGCAAAGGGTACTCGGCAGCGGGGTCAGGCTGGTGCGTGTCTGCACACCATGGTGGTGTTACAGGCGTACCAAGCCGACCTGCTGAAAGAGCTAGATGAGGGTGAGCAGGTAAAATCTGAGGATATTACCGAGCTCAGGAGGACCGCTGATTTGTCTCTCCGCGCCACCAAGGAGACCGCCCGTGCCATTGGCAGGTCTATGGCAGCTATGGTGGCAGCGACTCGAAGTGTGGCAGCCTCTAAGGCTTTTTTAGCGGGTGTGCTTATGCAGGACATCTGCAACGCTGCGGGTTACCTTTGTTAGGGTTTACCGGCTAGACATGCGAGCCACTCCTGGCTCTTCTGTTCTCTCGCCCTAGCTGTGCAGTCTTCCACAATAGGCAGAGACTTGGAAGTCTGGCGGCGTGGGCATTCTCGTTCCCCTAGCGTTTCCGACGCAGCTCGAGTTCCTGAAGAGGAATGTCTCGGGTTACGTATGTAACGCTGGTTCCTCGAGGGAACGAGACGCTGCGTCTCGGTGCCATACTTCCGGCGTCCCTGCCAGCGCTTGCTTCATTCCTAGAAGCTGACGCTGGTCTCACCGCACGTGCTTTTATAGCTTCCTGGTCATTACGTCACCCGCCCGTGACGTCTCGCCCATCTATTGGTCTGATTACACATGAGGTTCAGAGCCCGTCACGCTGAAGGGCGTTCCCCTAGCGTTTCCGACGCAGCGTCTCGTTCCCTCGAGGAACCAGGGTTACATACGTAACCCGAGATGTTATCATTTAAAGGGACAGCCAGTCCTGTTGTAATGGATCCCTTGTGCACACAAGAGTTTTGGACATATTTGAGAGTTGAGACAGTCCATTTGACGTCAGAGCTCACTTCAGTTTGTTAGTGTGAAAGCGAATTTTCAAACTCTGAATCTGATTTTCTAAGTCCACTTAAAAACGGTGGCATAGGTTACGCTTCAGGACCCTGGTATAGTTTGCAGTTGGTATTAATGCATCATTTACTTATTGTGTTTATGCTCCACGTTCTGGTTTAGACCACGAAATTGAGGTCAAATAGCCTGAGAATTACTCATATTATCCATGAGGATATGTGTGTGTGTTGCTGCGGTTGCCTTCAGTTGATAAAAGTGGATCCCAGGTATGCAACAAGAGCTGCGCAGCGTTAGAGATTGTCTCAACCCTCGCTGCATGCAGGCAGCACATGGTGGCAAAATAAATCAATCAAAATGATTCCCACCCGTCAGCACTGGTGGAGCCGCTGGAGGGGCCCTGCCTTCTCATCTCTTTTCATCCTGCAGCCCCATGCTTCATTGACTCAAAGATTGAGTATTACAAAAATATTAGCTAATTCTCACAGAAGACCCTTCTGGCATTAAGTTCTCTCTCTCTTTTCTAGGCAGGCCTGGGCATAGACAGCTGCACAAAATTTGTTTGGAATTTGTGTCTTGGAGGAAAAATATAAGAGAGGGAGGTGAAATCAAGAGACTTTTTACCCTCTGTCTGTCATGACAACCTCCGTCTTATGAATGTATTGGATTAAATTATTGTGTATCCAGATGGGCGAATTTTGTCTTTGTAGTAGTTCAACTGTTGGATGTTACACTGTTTACAAAATATAGTTTGATCATGATATGTCTGACTTTCAAAAATGCTGAGGCAATAGAAGGCAGGAAATACCAGGATTTTTATTTATTTATTTTTTTAACCTTCTAGGTCTGGAAAAGTCATGAAAATTAGTACGTTTTATTTCCATTTTTTAAAGTATTGGTAATTTTAATAATGATTATAAGCAGTCTGGATTTTCTCTGTTCTAAAATATTTAATCAAATAGTTATTATAGAATAAATCTTACCCACAAGCCAGCATGATGACACCAGTCTGTGTTTTGGGGGTCTTAAAGGGATAGTTCACCCAAAAATGAAAATTCTGTCATAATATTACTCACCCTCAATTCGTTCCAAACCCGTAAGACTTTCGTTTATCTTCAGAACACAAATTAAGATATTTTTGATGAAATCCGAGAGCTTTCTGACCCTGCATAGACATCAATGTAACTACCACGTTTAAGACCCAGAAAGGTAGTGAGGACATCATTAAAATAGTCCATGTGACATCAGAGGTTCAACCGTAATGTTACGAAGAAAACAAAACTAATGACTTTATTCAACAATTTCCTCTCTTTCTTGTCAGTCTTCGACGCGCGTTCACAAGAGTACCATGACACAAAAAGTATTCTTGTGGCTTCAAAAAATTACCACTGATGTCACAATGTCCTTACTACCTTTCTGGGCCTTGAATGTGGTAGTTTTCCTTGTTTGTTAGGCCTGCTTATCCATTTCAGTGTAGTTTCACCGTCATGACCATGCTAATATAAAAATGAGGATAAACATGAAAGTAACAGCAGACTAATGGCTATGAGTAATAATACATTGACATAGAACTTGCAGTTCAGTAAGTGAGTCACATATTGATTCAGTGGCCATTCTGATTGATTCTTTTCATCATTCATCATGTGGATTCATCAGACTCATTCATCGCCCGTTGGTAAGAATCATTTGTATGTGAATTGAGCTATACAGGTTGCCCGCATGTTTGTTGTTGCTTAGGCCTACAGCACATGAGCAGTACCGACACTAAAATACACTGTAGGAAAGACTGCTGTAATCGGTGATACATGCTGCATCACATCTGTGCCAGTTATGCCATCAACAAACTGGTTAATTGAACATGAAAATGTATGTTTTTCATATTTCTGACATTGTATGAACATGGTCTCACCATTCTTACATGACCCAAGAGTGGCTCACGATCCAGAGTTTAAAAACTGATGGTCTAAAATACCTGGAGGAAGCTCCATAATGGTGAGGACATCTACTAGCAGGAGCTAATGGGACCATGTTAACACCTTGATCTGTATGTTGCGATACAACAGAAGTAGTGGAAGATCTTTCTTCTGTATTGTGATGTACATACTGAAAAAAAAACTTGAGGCGGGGACTTGGTTCTATCAGTCGGTTGTTGATTTTATTTTGATGTAGCATTTTCACTCAGAAGTGTGCAACAGATGAACGTGAGCTTAGAGGGTCTAAGGGTCTAAGAGTTTAAGTTGACTAAATAGTTTGAGAAGTTCTGCATATGTCAACCAATACAGTGCAATATATACAGTATAATCCAATATCAAATACAGTATATACAGTATATAATATATACATAGGTGAATTGTTCACACCAATATCTATAACATGTGAATTTCCATTTCATGTCGACTTTAAATATCACATACTGTATATACGTTCTGACTGGCTATGATTTTACCGCATGGCAAAATATCTTTACTGTATTGTAGACACTTTTGTGATTTATGATCCCTGTTCATTTGTAGGCATTATGTAATTGAAATTATTTTTAAATATCGGCATGCATCAAAAAAGATAAATTACTAATTGAAAATAGTGATTCCTGCCACACACATGCAGGTGGTTCATGACATCTTGAACTGAAACCAGATACCGCACTGTGTAGTAATGCACAACAGACCTGCAAAACATGCCAACAGGGTTATGTGGGGTTTATTTATATGTTTTTTTTTATTTTTTTTATTTACAGATTATAATAGTATTTTCGGTTACTAGAATCACTTATTACAAAAAGTGCATATCCAGTAAAATAAAATGCTTAAATCTACTAGTGAAATACGGCATTGTGGAAACATTGTGGAATATTTTAGCATTATATAATTATATTAATATTATAGTATTATATAATTTAGTATTATATATAGTAGTAGTTTTTTAGTATCAATAAATTTACTACGCACTTAACACTTAAATATAAACAAGAGTTTGGATAGACAGCTGTCTCTATTGTGCTTTTTGGAAGCAAAAATATTGGAAAGACAATAGACAAGTGTATGTCATGAATGAATGATTTGGAGAGATCATTTGTAAATATACATATATATATATATATATATATATATATAGAGCAGTATCCACATAATCTGAGGATCTGCAATGTATGTCGCAGAGAGGCTGCTTCTCTTTAGGACACTTTGGATAGTAATGTAGTGAACAGTGTTAGGTTTATGCAGACTTGGTTGGTGTTTTGAGCGCCAGAAAGCTACAGGTGTTTTCAGGTGGGGTGCTGTCATGTATCAAAACAGGAACACACACACACATTGTTTCACAGTATGAAGACGACAGTGGGCGTGTGAATGGACAGCAGGGATTAATATCTCTGTGTGTGTGTGTGTGTGTACAGGTATATATGGTTTATGAGGACACAAATGTGTATAATGACATGGGTACTACAACGTAAACATGGTTTATGAGGACACTTCCTGTGTCCCCATAAAACAAAAGACTTAAAAAACATACAAACGGTGTTTTATGAAATTGAAAAATTGCCAGCAGTTTCCTGTGAGGGGTAGGTTTAGGTGTAGGGTTGGTGTAGGGCAATAGAAAATACAGTTTGTACAGTATAAAAACCATTACGCCTATGGAGAGTCCCCATAAACCACAAATACAAGTATGTGTGTGTGTGTGTGTGTGTGTGTGTGTGTGCGCACACTCTGAGCTCTGATTCCATTTCACTGGCTTTAATGAATCCCATTCACTGAATCATGCAATGCAGAATTGGCACAGGGCTGAGGAGTGACTGCACGCTCACTGCATCCAGAGTTTACACAGGATAAAAGTCATTCCTTTCAACTCCCTTACTACGAGTTACTAAACACATCTGTCCTTTCCAACCTCTCCATTCTTTTCTTGTTCTCTTCTCTCTTTTCGGTTATTGCAGAGAATTTGTTTTCGATTAACATTATTAAATGTTAGCATTTAATAAATATTTCTAGTGAACTGGTCATTTTCTTTCAAAATAACTTTTGACAGGAAGAGTAACAGGTCATTTTCTTAAAAAATATTTTAAACAAATAAGAACAACAATATTTTGAAATGTTATTGTCATTTAAAATAACTGTTTTCGATTCGAATATATTTTAAAATTGGTAATTTATTCCTGTGATGGCAAAGCTGAATTTTCAGCATCATTACTCCAGTGTCACATGATTCTTCAGAAATCATTTGCTGCTGAAGAAACATTTCTTGTTGCTGAAAACAGTTGAGCTGCTTAATATATTTTGTGGAAATTCTGATAGATTTTTTCAGGATTCTTTGATAAATAGAAAGCTCTGAAGAACATAATTTCTATGAAGTACACTGTCTGTTAAAAAAGAAAGTCTGTAAAAATATGGCCCAATGTTAAGATGAAGGAAATTTCCATATTGAATTTTCAAAGTTGTTTTACATATATTTTGAATCACTCGTTGCATTGTGTTGTGTTTTAGAGTTAAAAGAATTGTACAGATAATGGCCTTGCAGAAAATTACCAGTACATTTTCCCTTTTTTCTTACAGTGTAGAAATCTTTTGTTACATTATAAATGTCTTTACTGTCACTTTTGATCAGTTTAATGACACTGAGTCTTTTCTAATTAAAAAAATTACACTGACCCTAAACTTTTTAACTGTAGTGTATATGTGACAAAAAAAATTTTGTTTCCATTTTTAGAAGATGTTTAATGCCTTTGTTTATTAATAATTTTCAGAGTTTCCATCTCTTTGGACAAATTTGATAAGTAGTATTTCTAGGTTCATGGGAACCCTGATTTTCAGGGGTTTGTTTAATTTCGGTATAGTTTGTTTAAAAAAAGAGTTATTGCATATTGAAACATTATGGAACCAGACCTGAATAGCATATGCTCTGATTCCCAGTGCAGCTTATTCTGGTCTGATATGCCATGACCTCGTATGGCTCATTGTGCCACAGTAGTGCTGTTGTTGTGGATGAGACTACCTTGTCACAGAAATAGCCCATGCAGCTAGGACAGTGGTTCTCAAACCTCTCCATGAAGTACCCCAGCACTGCACATTATGTCTCCATATATCTGACACACCCACTTCAGGTCTTGCAGTCTCCACTAATGAGCTGATGAGTTGAATCAGGTGTGATAGATGAGGGAGACATACAAAATGTGCAGGGCTGGGGGTACTCCAGGGCAGGTTTGAGAACCACTGAGCTAGGATATCTAAAGTGCCATAATTATCAGAGTTCGATGTAACCCAGCCTGGCCAACAATCAGAAGCTCTCTTTGATGTCTCTTTGTGTGTGTGTGTGTGTGTGTGTGTGTGTGTGTGTGTGTGTGTGTGTGTGTTTCTACACAGACATCCGAGAGACGGCGTTTGTGTATGCTATCACGGCAGCGGGTGTGACGCATGCAGTGACACAGGCCTGCAGCATGGGGGAGCTGCTGCAATGCGGCTGCGAGGCCACACGAAGCAGAGGGCCGCCCCCGCGTTTAGCCGGTGTTGGCCCAACCGAGGGGGTCAAGTGGGAGTGGGGTGGCTGCGGAGACGATGTGGAGTTCGGCTATGAGAAGTCCAAGCAGTTTATGGACGCCAGGCGGAGGAAGGGCAAGAGTGACATCCGCACGCTGATAGACCTTCATAATAATGAAGCCGGTCGACTGGTATGATATTTCATCTTTATCTTGACACATATAGCTATGAATTAAAAATAAATTAATAAAAATAGTTTACACAGGCTTTTGTTTTTACAGTCTTTTAGTGGTGGTATAAATGTAATCCGACCTATTAAATAACAATATTAAACAAGAATAAGGTGTTAACTTACACAACCATTCAAAAGTTTGGGGTCAGTACGTTTTTTTATTACTTTTATTCAGCAAGGACACATTAAATTAACCAAAAGTGACAGTAAAGAAATTAAAAATGTTACAAAAGATTTCTAAATGTTCCTATTTTGAATTTTCTGTTTATCAAAGAATCATCATGGTTTCCACAGTAAAATATTAAGCAGCACAATTGCACTATTCTCAACACTGATAATAAAAATAAATATAGAATGATTCCATGATCACCATATTAGAATGATTTCTGAAGGATCATGTGACACTGGAGTAATGACTGCTGAAAATTCAGATTTGCCGGTATGATTGAATTTTAAAATGTATTGCCAAAAAAAAAAGTTACATGAAACTTTGTCAGAGTGCTGTATTTAGTACAATATTATGTACTAGGGGATGCATGTGCGAGAACAGTTCATGCAACCTGGTATTTAGTTCTTAGTTCACACAACCCTTATTATACATCAGCAATAAACAAAATTAGGAATTGGGATGACTAGCCAGGTATCTTGTATTTACTCTTTTTTTTGTTGTTGTTAAAGGCAGTCTCACATAGTACCTGTTGCCCTCATGCAGGTTTGGTGTAGATGTTTTTTTATGTTCCTGGTACGATATCAATGTGGATCGATTTGTTGCATCGATGCATAGATGATACAAGCACAGTCGTGTGCTGTTTTGCCTGTACAACCCTTAAGAGATAGTCAAGCTTAAATGAGCAGATGGTGCACTTCAAAAGCCCAAGCATGGAAAAGCTCGGAAATGTTATGGAAATATACTTGGCAGAGGCTGGAGAACACACTATGAACTGAGTTGAGACTAGTTTCCCAACATCACCACTCTCTCTGTTCCCTTATTGACTGTCTGTGTGTGTGTGTTTCTTCACAGACATCCGAGAGACGGCGTTTGTGTATGCTATCACGGCAGCGGGTGTGACGCATGCAGTGACACAGGCCTGCAGCATGGGGGAGCTGCTGCAATGCGGCTGCGAGGCCACACGAAGCAGAGGGCCGCCCCCGCGTTTAGCCGGTGTTGGCCCAACCGAGGGGGTCAAGTGGGAGTGGGGTGGCTGCGGAGACGATGTGGAGTTCGGCTATGAGAAGTCCAAGCAGTTTATGGACGCCAGGCGGAGGAAGGGCAAGAGTGACATCCGCACGCTGATAGACCTTCATAATAATGAAGCCGGTCGACTGGTATGATATTTCATCTTTATCTTGACACATATAGCTATGAATTAAAAATAAATTAATAAAAATAGTTTACACAGGCTTTTGTTTTTACAGTCTTTTAGTGGTGGTATAAATGTAATCCGACCTATTAAATAACAATATTAAACAAGAATAAGGTGTTAACTTACACAACCATTCAAAAGTTTGGGGTCAGTACGTTTTTTTATTACTTTTATTCAGCAAGGACACATTAAATTAACCAAAAGTGACAGTAAAGAAATTAAAAATGTTACAAAAGATTTCTAAATGTTCCTATTTTGAATTTTCTGTTTATCAAAGAATCATCATGGTTTCCACAGTAAAATATTAAGCAGCACAATTGCACTATTCTCAACACTGATAATAAAAATAAATATAGAATGATTCCATGATCACCATATTAGAATGATTTCTGAAGGATCATGTGACACTGGAGTAATGACTGCTGAAAATTCAGATTTGCCGGTATGATTGAATTTTAAAATGTATTGCCAAAAAAAAAAGTTACATGAAACTTTGTCAGAGTGCTGTATTTAGTACAATATTATGTACTAGGGGATGCATGTGCGAGAACAGTTCATGCAACCTGGTATTTAGTTCTTAGTTCACACAACCCTTATTATACATCAGCAATAAACAAAATTAGGAATTGGGATGACTAGCCAGGTATCTTGTATTTACTCTTTTTTTTGTTGTTGTTAAAGGCAGTCTCACATAGTACCTGTTGCCCTCATGCAGGTTTGGTGTAGATGTTTTTTTATGTTCCTGGTACGATATCAATGTGGATCGATTTGTTGCATCGATGCATAGATGATACAAGCACAGTCGTGTGCTGTTTTGCCTGTACAACCCTTAAGAGATAGTCAAGCTTAAATGAGCAGATGGTGCACTTCAAAAGCCCAAGCATGGAAAAGCTCGGAAATGTTATGGAAATATACTTGGCAGAGGCTGGAGAACACACTATGAACTGAGTTGAGACTAGTTTCCCAACATCACCACTCTCTCTGTTCCCTTATTGACTGTCTAGATCCATTTAATAGTTACAGGAGTGTCATTTTTTTTTAAACTAGGGCTTTCACATTACAGTATTAACATGCACAATTAATTTAAAATGTATATGCATTTATTTGATTTAACATGGAATCTGTTTAGTTCTGTTCTGTGATCAGAAACCACAAATCCACTCACATACACACACTGCCACTGAAATGTTTGGGCTCAGTAAGTTAATACTTTATTAATGAATTAAATTGATCAAAAGTGACACTAAAGCCATTTAAAAGGTTTAGATTTCAAATACATTCTGTTTTTAGACAAATAATCCTGAAAAAATGTATCACAGTTTCCACAAAAATATTAAGTAGCACAACATTTCAGCATTGATAATAAGAAATGCTTTTTGTGCAGCAAATCAGCATATTAGAATGATTTCTGAAGGATCATGTGACACTGAAGACTGGATATTGATGCTAAAAATTTAGCATTGCATCACAGAAATAATAACATTTTAAAATATATGAAAATAATAAAAAAATATTTTAAATTGTAATAATATTTCACATAAATAAATTCAGCCTGGGTGAGCATAAGTGTCTTAAAAAGACATAAAAAATTTTTACCGACCCCAAACTTATGGTGTGTTTACATTTTTCTTTCATATTTTAGTATAGTGTGCAATTCAACACACAAATTTAAGTGTGACTGGAGTGTGTCTTTAAGACATTTTAGACAGGGCAAACCTTTTTTTTTTTTTTAACAAATCATTATTTTTGTATTTCCATTATTTCTGCAATGATGCCGCCTACTGTACAATAGAAAACTATGGTGCATGTGTGTGATAGATCATTTTGAACTACTCTTATCTTAGTTTACTATTTTATAATTCATTATTATTCAGAACTCTAAAGAAGTCAGATTTACGGTTTCCTTCAAGCCATCATCAGTCGGCCACTGGCCAAATCCTCAGATTAGTTATTCACTAGTGTCAGTAGTGCTTCATCTTCCAGAGGTCAATGCCTCGCAGCCTCGGGTCCCGTTAGCATGGGGTCAGTCACCGGTAAATAGGCATTAAGGGGGAATATAGACATGTTTGGCAGATGGTGATTTTCTTCTATGTCAAAGAGGACTCAAATGCCCCGCAGCGACTTGTTTGGAATTAAAGTTAGAAAAATGGTAACACTGCATTTATCAGATGTTAATTTCAACAGGTATAGAACTGTACGAATCTCTGTTTTCAAGCTCTCAGATTGGCTTTCGAGTGGCTGGAGGCTAAAGAGGGAGGGGAGAGACGAGGGTAAATTCCTTCTAAATAGCTTCTCCTTTTATCTCACTGAACTATCTTTGTTTCTTGAACTGCAGGCGGTGAAGAATTATATGAGAACTGAATGTAAATGTCACGGGCTGTCTGGCTCTTGCACTCTGAGGACCTGCTGGAAGAAAATGCCTCACTTCCGCGAGGTGGGCGACCGCCTGCTCGAGCGCTTCAATGGGGCATCCAAAGTGATGGGTGGGAATGACGGTAAGACTCTCATTCCAGTGGGGCAGAACATCAAACCTCCAGACAAGCAAGATCTCATCTACTCGGCCGAGTCGCCGGACTTCTGCCTGCCCAATCGGAAGACGGGTTCTTTGGGCACGCGTGGGCGGATGTGCAACAGCACGGCGCTGGACGTGAGCGGATGTGACCTTCTGTGTTGCGAGCGGGGCCACCGGGACGAGACGGTGGTCCTGGAGGAAAACTGTCTCTGCCGTTTCCACTGGTGCTGCGTTGTCCAGTGTAAAAAGTGCTTGGTCAGGAAGGAACTGAGTTTGTGTCACTAACTGAGAACCTTTGATAATGGGATTGAGAAGAGCCATTCCCAACAAGGACAAGAACAAAAGAATCTAGAACATTCCAGATTCATGCATACACATTTCAAACCCTGAGGCTTTGGGAAAGCCTAGAGGAGTGTCTGACTTGTGATTCACCCCTCAGAAAACCCAGGACCGCTAGTCTCAATGACTACTCAAGATTTAGGAGGGGTTCTTCAGCTGTGAAGTCGAAACATTCAGAAATCTTCTCATCAGAGGGCTTTTGTGTGTATTTTCTGTTAGATCAGCCCCGTATACTGTATATTATGAGTGCAGACTCAATGAATGAAAGCACATCCACATCAGCACTGCAGCCATGGTGTAATGGCTGTTTATGCTCTGAAGTGACAGAACATCAAGAAAAGGATATTTGGCATATGCTCTGTAAAGCTGGCTGGATATGGAACAAAGACGGTTATTTATAAGCATTTAATATCATCATGACTACTTCTTGTGATTAATTCCCTGTCATTTTCTTTCAAAAGCACTTTGAGAACTTTTAACAGAAAGAGTAAAAACTTGTTTTACTCTTAAACTCAAAGGTAAAAAGCGAATGTAAGAGAAGCAACATGTAAAAACACTTTATCTTTGTGAGATATTTAATCTATGGGGCTTTTAATGCACTTTTACTGATACTGATCACTATTTTTCATCGGTTTGCTCCTTAGTGAAATGCATTTTCAGTGGTTTGTTTCAGTTTGTGTTGGTTTTTAAGAGTTCTTATATTGTTGACCTCATATGAAAACCTTAGTATGCTAACACTGCCCAACAGTTCTCAAAACCGATTACAACTGATCATTAATGACAATAATCACAGGAACATATGAAAAGTTGTCATTGTTTTATCACCTTTTTTTGTTTGTTTGTTTTTTCAATGGATCTCTCACTTGAGGGTTAATCAAGTCAGGTCATAAAAACATCATTTCAACACCATGTTCAATAAATTAAGTGTCATCAAAATGCATTATGTTTGAAATGTAATATTTATACAGTCTGTACAGTTAATGAAATCAGAAAACAGAAATGTCAAGAAACAGACAAAAAGAATGCAGAGCTTCACAAGCTACTTACAGGGTCAGCCATGAGACTTTCATCAAGTGTTAATCTCAAGCACCCTGTCCTTTGTTTGGAATGTATTGCATTTTTGAAAAAATACCTTCACAAGGTATCATCTGGAGTTTGCGCTTGTGAACCACAGACCACTGAGAAATATAATTTTCACATGCATTAGTTTTAGGCGCATAAGCATAATGGACTTGAGACTGAAAAATGACAGCATGTCCACTTAATGTAAATTAAGATTAAATTTGTCATTTGAATGACTGCATTCGGCTCTATTTATCTTATAACTTTGTCTATTTATCTTAAATTTGTAGTTCATCTCTCTTACGCAACCTCATATCTGAAAAAAACATGGCAGAAAGATGTGAAAGATTATTTACTCCTCTTCAAAACAACTGTTTATAAAGCGATCTTGCAATAATTCAGACCAGAACTGTATATTTTGGATATTTAATCACAATGCATTTGAAAGGAAGATTTCAGATTTGAAAAACTGAATACTGGAAGTGAGAATCCTTCTTATAGCTGCTCATCACTGAATAAAATACACAAAAACTTGTTTCCTCGTTATTTTGTCGTATTTAGTTAGTAGTTTTTTTCTTTCTAATAAAGTACTTATAATTATCTATCTATCTATCTATCTATCTATCTATCTATCTAATGTTGTAACTCTCATATGACGTTTTGACTGGGAGATATGATCCCATTTCAGCCTGAGATATTTATATAGACATCATAATGAAGCTTATGTCACACTTTCCTTTCATTGATGTTAAACAAATCATACAATTGTTGTTCTAACTGGCTCACTTCACACAGGGTCAAGGCTCAATGCTTCCCACCTCGCTCTCTCGCTACGGCAATTCAGAGATTTCAGCTTAAAGTGTATCGCTTCGCCACTCAGCAGAAGAAAGGTGTTGTTTTGAGTTATTTACACAGTTGGAAAAGACTCCCTTTGTATTAGTACGAGTCCTGCAAGACGGCACAAGTTCATATTTTCCAGGAATTTGGGCTGCGTAGCCAACAGTGTTGAAGATAGAGGGGAAGATGGAGACCGGGAATGTGCCAGGTGCAGTGGTGAGGGAATGAGAGACAGAGAGAGACACACACAACCAATAGACAGCCCATCATACAGTCATACCGCAGACAGCCAATAGATTTGGTATTAATATAGCTGCTGTGTTTCAATGTACTTTAACACACACACACAGTGGCTGTGGAATGTGCAGGATGAGACTATCGTTCTGTCTTTGCCTGCTGATAGTAAAACATGCAGGGCACTAATGAAAACCTGCCACTGTGGATGGATACATGGCATGATGGGAGACACACTCATTTCCTCTGATCACCCAGACAATGAGGTGCAAAGACACTCAGACGAAAGGCTGTGAACTCTAGTTGCAGGCATAGAGGTGGTAATCATTTAAGCTGATGAATAATGAATTTATGATTCAACATTTTTGCAGTAATGGAAATTTTGCTGTGGGATTTATATCAGTATATAGGAAAAAGTGGCTTCTCTCATTATGGAATGTACAGACAGGAATTGTTTTATGTGCATGTGTACACAGGTGCATGTGTGTGGCAGATAGCCTGAGTGAATAAAACTACATAATACCACCATGCGTCCCCTTGTTCTGACAACCAGTCTTTATCTAAATAGAGATGCTTGCTTTTTTTGGAAGACATACTCATAAAAGTCGAGCTGTGACTTAAGGGTCTGAAACCTCGCAGGAGATTTTATCGGGAGGTAATCAGTCTAATTACAACTTAGGCCCTGTCAGACTCTATTCTGTGAGTCTGTGAGGTGCATGATGGGATGGAGGAGTGCACTGTACAAAATTTAACCTGTACTTATGGCATGTTCATGGCTACTAGCTGCTGTATTTTGTTACAATTACTGTGACTTAACAGTTCAGGTCTAGTGCATTACAGTAATCTTTACTCATTACAGTAATAGTGTGATTTCCGTAATACTATGCTGATGCTTATGTTCACAGAATGTATGGCAAGAATAACTTTAATTTGTAGTTGTTGTTTTTTCTAATGATTTCTTTTCTTTTTTTTTCAACCCAGGACAACATTTCTCGTTGTTCACCCTGATGGCATTGTTTATAATATTAGTTATGATCTTTTTACTATAACATGGCCACAAAGTGTCAGACTCTGTTCCATGTTTCGTGTGTGTCCTGCTCCCCATGTGCCTTCCCATGCCCTTATTTGGTTTGTTTCCTGTTCCTCCCCTGATTAAGTTGATTTCTTCCCAGGTGTTTCCCTTGATGTGTCATGGCTCCCAGGTGTGTCTCGTCATCCCCTCCTCCTGTGTGTGTGTATATAAAGTGTTCCCAGCCCCTAATTCTCTGTCCGATGTTGAAGGTCTTCCTGAGTTCGTCTCCCTTGGTCCGTGCAAATAAAGTCCTGTTAAGTATTCTCCAGCGTCTCCTCGTTCCTCGTGTGTGTGCACCCCGTGACAATGTATATAAAGTGTCCCTAGTTCTCTGTCCGATGTTGAAGGTCTTCCTGTATACGTCTTCCTGAGTTCGTCTCCCTTGGTTCCTTCCTACGAATAAAGTCTTGTGTAAAGTATTCTCCAGCGTCTCCTCGTCCCTCGTGTGTGTGCACCCGTGACACAAAGTCAATCACTAAACTTTTTTTCTGCATTCATTTTACTGCATGTAACCAATTGTGTTACCACTGTTGCACTGGCTCTGAAAATGTTGGTTTAATTCCTATTTAATACAACTACTGTTATTATCCCACAATAATGCAACATAATGCAGTTATAATTTGTGTTACCGCAAAAAGTGACCTGGATTATTTTCACATTAGTTTTTAATTGCAATAAATCTCTGCTAAATCCTGGAGGTTTTTTAGAGAGTGACATTTATACGTCCTGCTACAGGGCATGGAAGTTAAGCGGTTTCGAGGAGGGCCGAAACAACCTCACCTCCCCTGATGGCAACGACTCTGCTTGGTAAATAACACAATTACCTGCACCATTTCTCTTTGTGGATACACGGAGTTTAGTGCTCTCACTGGGTTGTTAACCTTTCAATGTCAGGAATTTAAGTGCTGATAATATCTCCAGAACACAGCTTACTCATAGTTACCATTTTTGTCTCTTGGACGAACTAAAACGTAAAGAGACCCAGCGTGCAAGTCTGTGTCAATAAACAATGTTGTTTGCGTGCTCTCCGCTCTGGAATCGCCAGATGGAAATGGAGTCCCTGTCCTCAGTTAGATGAGGCTTGCTTTTTCCAAAATGGACCTGCAGTGAAGTGTTTATGGATTTGTGGTTTGCAGGCATATACGGTCTCATAGTGTGTGTGCGTGTGTGTGCGCAACCTCTGCGCACACACACGCTCTCACTGTAACACACTTCCTGCCACTTAACACAAGATGGAGCTATTTGTCTCATTTCATGGATGCTTCACAGGAAACACTTCAGACAATTTTGTGCCTTTGAAATACACCGATGAAAGACAACACAGCGTAATTTGGATCATCAGTAGCAGCAAGATAAGAATAACCAGATTAAAGACAACTGTGAGTAGGCTATAGTGTATTACCTAAGAACAGGGCGAACAACGGTATAAGAAGGTGCATAAAATGCCACTTGTGGAGAAGAGTGCCTGCACTTTGGCATTCTGTTCAAACGAGTAGGCCTACTACCGAAATAAAAGAATATACTTCAGTGTGAGCTGAATGGGATTTTTTTGGACACTTCATTTCATGTTATTTACAATTAAATGAAAAGGTATTAAATATATTAATTTATATTACATGCAGTCAGCTGAATTTTACAGTTCTTTTTGACCCGCTTAAGAACATCTTTATATGCAATTTCATAATTACTAATAGTGTCTTTGAAACTATTCTTCTGCAATTGAAACTTGTGTGACATGTAATTAAATATATATATATATATATAATTACAAGATTATTAAAACTTCATGATTTTAAATGTACTTTTAATTTGACATTATTACAAAGTACACTTAGAAACAGTCAAGAAGGTTTACGCTCTTCAAGTACACTTAATTGACATTTTATTTAATTAATATTGTATTATCTGCAAGGACAGTGCTTTTTTAATACTTTAAGTGCACATTCAATACAATCAAGCACACTTCATTTTCACAAGGGATTTTGGGAAATTCGATATGTTCAGTGATGTGATAGACTATAGCCCATCTAAAACTGTTCTAAACAATATTTGGATAATTCAGTAATAGTATTGTGCATGTACATAATACTAGTTATTCTCAAATTAATTTAGAAACTACTGTAGAGTGGTATCTTGCAAAAAATTACCTTAAAAAGCTGTCTATTTGATCTAACAACTAAATTTAGTTTTGTTGGTAGGTCGATTCAGTGGTGTTATATATTGTAATATTTTTTACTTGAATTAAACAATTTAGATGTTATCACATGTAGCACAGTTAACATTTTATTTATTTTATTATGTTATTTTTTCTCAATATTTGTACTTTTAAAAATGTTACACCATATAGTGTGGCAAAAAGTGAATTTAAAAATAATGAAATAATTTATTGTACCGTAAAATGTAAATATGTCAGTACCATATACCAGTAAAATAGTGATTTTGTTAAAAAAAAAAAAAAACTGTATCCAAAATCCATACTGTAGATATGTTATGCATAAACTACTCCTGCAAAATAAAACTATGCACAATTTTTACAGAGTGATCACATAGAGTCCTGCAGTGTAGCAAATAGAACAATAACTGTTTTCCAATCAATGCATTACATTCAATGAATGAGACCATAACATGCAGAGAGGATGCAGTTGTTAGTTAGCAGAGCAGGGATTAGTATGGGTTAAGCGCTTGGCTGAAGTGGGAAGATACTCTTCTGA